CTATTCCCAAATCAGGAATCCCAGAATCCCAGGAGGGTTTGGGTGGGAAGGACCTCACAGCCCATCCAGTGCCATGGCAGGGACACCTGCCACCATCCCAGGTGGCTCCAAGACCATTCCCACCTGGCCTGGGACACCCGCAGGGCTGGGGAAGGGGGGACATCCCTGTGCTGCTGCCATCCCTGGGCTCAGCCCTGACCCAGCAGCAGCAAAATCCTCTTGTGCCTCCCCTTGTGCCTCTCTGGGGTCTGCCAGTCCCCCCAGGCACACCTGGGCACTGTCACATCTGTTGGGACCCCCCAGCCCCCTGCCCTTCCCTGACAGGACCCACCCTCAGCCCAGCATCACTGCCCTGTCACTATGATATTTTATGAAAAATCCGTTTTGCCAGAATCATTTCTCCTGGGAAGCTTCAGCTTCTCCATGTTTTGCTGCTCTGGAATGTGATTTGGAGAATTTTTTACCCAGCATGTGAATTGATTTTAATTAATGGCCAATCACAGGTCCAGCTCTGGTCAGTCACAAGATTTTAATATTCATTCCTTTCTTCACAAGATTTTATTATTCATTCCTTGCTGGCCTTCTGATGTCTCCTTTCTTCTATTCTTTTAGCATAGTTTTAGTATAGCATTTTCTTTTAATGTAATATATATAATTAAATAATAAATCAGCCTTCTGAAACACGGAGTCAAGATTCTCATCTCTCCCCTCGTCCTAGGGACCCTCAAACACCATCCCTGTTCCCTCCCACCCTGGAGGTGACAGAGCTGTCCCCAGGCTCTGGCCAGGCTGGAGGTGCCCCAGTTTGACCAGTAACCCCGGGGTTACGTCCAGCAGGGCTGTTGCAATGCCCATTGCTTCACCCTCCCATTCCTCTCATTATTCTCATGTTAAAGCAAAGATTGGGTCACATCCCGAGCCCACCCTTCCTGCCCTGCCCATGCCAGGTGACTCCTCACTCCTCCTCCCCATTCTGTCTCCCTGGGGGGGCCTTTGGGCACCATCTGCTCTCCCATCCATCCCAGCTGTGCTTCTGGATGCCTCCTTTAGTCCCTCCCTGTCACAGACATCTTTTATGGAAAAATCCTTTCCTTAGGATTTTCCTCCTGAGAAGCTGAGAGGCCTCAGCAACAAAATGCAAACAATGGTTATCTGCTGCTGTGGAATGCAACAGGTGCATCTGTGATTGGTCTCATGTGGTTGTTTCTAATTAATGGCCAATCACAGTCAGCTGGCTCAGAGCCACAAGCCTTTGTTATTCATTCTTTCTTTTTCTATTCTTAGCCAGCCTTCTGATGAAATCCTTTCTTCTATTCTTTCAATATAGTTTTAATATAATATATATCATAAAATAATAGATCAAGCCTTCTGAAACATGGAGTCAGATCCTCGTCTCTTCCCTCATCCTGGGACCCCTGTGAACACGGTCACACCTCCCAGCTGGAGGAGCTGGACCCTCCTGCTGGAATCCACCTGATCCTCCTGCTCCACATCTGGGAGCTCCTCCAGGGGTCAGGCTGGGGAGGATCTGCCCATTGCAGAGCCCAGGGAAGGGACATTCTGCCTTCCACCGGGCAGGGCAGTCCAAGGAGGGGTTTAAGGTGCCTTTTCTGCATCCTCAGAGCTCCAGACCGCCGGCTCTGAGGTCTCCTGCCAGGGAAAGGCCTGGAGCCCCCCAGGGCACAGCAAGGCTGGGGGTGGCACGGGCAGGGGACAGCTCCCAGCGCCCAAAAACCTCCTCTGCCCCTTCCTCCTGCTCCCGGGGATCTCAGGGGTCACTGAATTCTGGGGAACTCCAGGATTTCCCTCTCAGGCTGCTCTCCCCACCACAGTCCCCCCAAAAATCCAGCTCTGCCTCTGCTCAGCCAGGAGATCTCAGCCTGGAGCTCCAGCACAGCCCCAGCACCCCCAACCCCTAGAACTGACAGGAACCCCCAGACCTGACAGACCCCCAGCACCCCCTCACCCTGCCCAGACCTGACAGAACCCCCCAGACAAGACAGGAACCCTCTGACTTCACAAAGCCCCACAGCACACCCTCACCCCATAGACCTGACAGAACCCCCTGGACCTGGCAGACCCTCCCAGCACCCTCTCAGCCCCCCAGGCTCTGACAGAGCCCCCCAGACATGACAGAACCCCCCGGACCTGATATACCCCCAGCACCCCTCACCCTCCCAGGCTCTGACAGAACCTCCCAGCACCTGCTCAGCACCCCAGGCTCTGATTGACCCCCCAAGCACCCNTGGGGACACCAGCCCTGGCTGAGACTGCGTCCCCACGGGCTTGGCCTGTCCCCGAGTGTGACAGCGATCACAGGGGTGCCAGCATGAAGAGACGAGGATCTGACTCCATGTTTCCGAAGGCTTGATCTATTATTTTATGACATATATTATATTAAAACTATACTAACACAACAGAAGAAATTATTTCATCAGAAGGCTGGCTAAGGATAGAATAATAAGGAATGATAACAAAGGCTTGTGACTGACCGAGGCAGTCCGGACAGCTGGGCTGTGATTGGCCATTAATTAGAAACAACTGTGAAAAATGCATGTATTTTATGATTGGCTTTTCACAAATATTCAAATGAATATTATATGTGTTGTGTTAGAAAGTAATGCTGTGTTAATTCTCTTAAGTACTGTGTTAAATATAGTTTTAGGTTATAAAAATTGTTAAAATAGAAACTATGCTATGTGAGATACCTTTTTTAAAGACAGGATTCCCAGCAGCCACAGGACACCTGAATCTTTCAGAGAAAAGGAATTTATTGCTCCATTATCAGAAGAAACTAACTTCTTCCCGCCTCAAAGTCGCTGTTAGGATTCGGAGGAAGAAGTTGACACTGACCAGACAGAATCCTGTGTTTGAATGGAATTTATGCATCATGTATGAAATGTATGAATATGCAACAGACTGTTGCTTTTAAGGGTTAATCCTTTGTTAACGGGTGTCCTTTTTCGGGCTCCTGCTGCCCAGAAAAAGGTACCCAGAAGTCCATAACTCTTTGTATTTATTGTCTCATATTGTCCTAATTCAAATTGTCCAAATTGTTATTGCCCTAATTGTGTTACTATTTTCATAACCATTTTATTACTATTAAAGTTATAAAATTTTAAAAACAAGTGATTGGCATTTTCCACATTATTTTATAGTATAGATTCTATTAAAACTGTGCTAAAGCATAGAACAGATGCTGGGGAACACATCTCTCCCAAAACTCTCATTCTGCCCCAGAACAGCACTGGAGACCCCCCCAAATTCCCCCTCCAGCCCCCAAATCCCACCTCCAGCCCCCAAATCCCCTTCTCCCCCCGAGCCCGGCTGCCTCAGCCCCTCCCTTGGCTCCAGTCCGGGCTATTTTCTGCTTGACTGAGTTTTTCTCTCTGTTCCTGATTTTCCCGACCCCCTCTGGATTGCTTTTCTGCCTTTTGTTAGAATCCTAAATTCCCATTATTTGCCCATTTAATTACCGTGCTACTTCCTGCCCGTTTTGGCAGAGCCGGGCTGGGCTGATCCCGATCTTATCTCCCCTGAGGAGGGGCTCAAACACCGGGATGGGGGTGAGGAGTGCCAGGGAGCCTCGTGTCAGGGACAGGAGGGGTGACAGGGACCTGCTCGGGATGTCCTCAGCACCCCAGGGCAGCCTGAGCCCTCTGGGGAGACACTGTGGACAGAGAGGAGGAGGAGAAGGAAGAGGAGGAGAAGGAGAAGGAGAAAGAAGGAGAAGGAGAAGGAGAAGGAGAAGGAGAAGGAGAAGGAGAAAAAAGGAGGAGGGGAGGGAATTTGGGAAGTTTTCTGCAATGGGATCAGAGGAATTCCCTGCAATGGGATCAGAGGAATCACCTTGAATGGGATCAGTGGGATTTCCTGCAATGGGATCAGAGTACCCCCTGCAATGGGATCAGGGAGATCCAGCCCCTCTCTGGTCATCACCAGCTCTGGCAGCACAGCAGGACAGAGGCGGGCAGGGCATGGGGGCGGCTCAGGCCGGGAGCACCGGGAGGGGAGGAACCGAGCCCTGAGCTGCCCTGGAGGTGCCAGCACATCCCTGCTGCCGCTTCCCTTCCCGGACACCGAGAGATTCCCAGAGTGAGCAAACCCCGGCAGGATCAGCCTCGCCCGAGCCTCGGGGGAGATGAGGAAATGCTGTGGCTGCGGCACCGCATTCCCCGAGCTGCTGCTGCCTCCCAGGGGCTCCCAAAAGCAGCCCAGAGCAGATTGTCACTGCACACTGGGACAAACCCTGGCAGAGAGGGAGCTGCTGTCCCCTGGACTGCCCACCATCACTGTCACACTCAGGACACACCGCTGGGGAAGCTCTCTGCGTCCGGAGCCGTCAGTGGGTTTAAGCTCCTGTCCTGGTTTTACATGAGAGTAATAAAATGGTTATAAAATAGCAATATAATTAGAGTAATAAAAATGTGGACAATTTGGGTGTGGACAATATGAGACAATAAAGACGAAGAGTTACAGACAGTCCAGGTACCTCTTTCTGGGCAGCATAAGCCCAAAAAAGGACACCCATTAACAAAGGATTAACCCTTTAAAGCAACAGCCTGTTGCATATTTATGAACTATAATTATTTTGAACTATAACCACAAAAATCCCGTTTCCCTTCCCAGGAGGTCTCACGCTGCCACTGCTTTGATCGTCATCGTCCCCAAGCTGTCACCAGCCTCCTCTTCCTCGGAATTCCTCTTCCCAGATTTATCTCCTTCCATAGAGGAAAAGCCCACAAGATGCAGCTGGCAGGGGCGGGGAGGCAGCTGGCACTGGCACATCCCGGTGGGATGGAGGCGGCACAGTCGGCGATCCCAGCCCTCCCTCAATGAGCGTTTGTCACCTGCAGGAAGAGCCCTGTCAGTGACTTCCTTTGATTTGGAGACGCCTGAGTCACCCCGAACTGGCGGCAGGATCGATGGGAACGCCCGGGCCAGCCTCTGGGGGCATTCCCAGGGTACCGGCGGGNCCAGCCCCGAGGGAGCCCCTGCACCTGGGCACGGAGCCACCAGCCCATTACAGATTACACATGCAATTAATGTAATTACAGATGCTTAATTAGCGACAGCAGGGCGCTCTCTTAACAAAGCACAATAATGACAGGCGATGCTGTGCTGGGAGCTGGAGGGACAAATGGAGGTGGGGACCATCCTCTGTCCCACCCCCCGGGACAGCACGGCCTGGAGGGGACTGGGGCGACTCCGGGGCTGGGACAGGGCTGGGACAGCCCTGCCGGGGGGCTCAGAGGGGAAACCATGCCAAGACCCCAAAACCCCCAAACCCCAAAAGCGTGGGAATGGTGGAGCATCCATCCAGGATCTGCAGGGTCCAGGGAGGCAGAGCTCAGAGCCCCCTCTGCTCCTCCATGGTGTAAAACTCTGTGGGGTGGGATGGGATGGGATGGGATGGGATGGGATCCATGGGGTGGGACAGGATAATGGGATGGGACATTATTGGAATGGGATGGGATCCATAGGATGGGACATTATTGGGATGGGATGGGATAATGGGATGAGATAGGACGCTATTGGGATGGGGTCCATAGGATGGGACGGGATGGGATCCATGGGATGGGACATTATTGGGATGGGATCAGACATTATTGGATGGGATGGGATAATGTGATGGGACATTATTGGGATGGGATTATGGGATGTGATAATCAAATGGGACATTATTGGGATGGGATGGGACATTATTGGGATGGGACATGATTGGATGGGATGGGATAATGGGTTGGGACATTATTGGGATAGGACATTATTGAGGTGGGATGGGATTTGATGGGATGGGATAATGGGTGGGATGGGATCCAAGGGATCCATGAGATGGGATGGGGTAATGGGATGGGATGGGACGGGAAAGGAGAGGACATTATTGGGATGGGATGGGATAACGGGATGAGACGTTATTGGGATGGGACAGGATGGGACAGCATGGAATGGAGACAGGCAGCAGGGAAGCTCCACCTGGGGTGACAGAAGCCTGAGGGACAGCTGCCCTGTGGGGACCATGGGGACAGTGTCAGTGTCCCCGGGGTGTCCTTACCCTCTGCTGGGGACACACCAGGTCCCACGGTGCCGGTGGCACTGGGGGGCGGTGGAGGGGGCACAGCTCTGCCAGAGAGGAGCAGGGACAGCTCAGTGACCATGGATGGTGTCCCTGGAGGCGCTGCCACACCAGGATGGCACCGAACCCCTGGCACTCACCGCCCTTCCTCGGGTGAGGAGCGCAGGAACCGCACGGGGGGCAGGCGGGGAAGGGTCCAGGGCAGGTAGTGATGGTGGAAAACCACGGCCTCCTCTTCCTCCTCCTCCTCACCCTGTGAAAGCCCCGCCAGCGCCTGGGGAGGGGGACAGAGGCAGGGCTGGGCTGGGGCTCCCAAAGCACCGCTGGCCGGTGTGGTAAATAGGTATGATTGAAACAGCAATCAATATTGATGCAGCAATCAATATTTGGAAATAATAATAAAACAGTTAAAAGGTGTAATGCCAAGAAAGAAAGGGAGAGGAAGAGTTCCACTCCCCCTTTTCCTGAAGATGTTCAAGGCAGGAAAAACCAAGAGATAACAGTTACTAAAAATTAACAGAAAGAAGGGAAAATCTGGTTGGGTCCCAGGAAAATGCCAGCTATAAGAGATTTATTGCTTTGATGCTTAAATATAATATCATGTTAGTCTTGGCTTACATTATACTGGCTTGGTGCACATGTGTGACCCAAAGGTGAATTAAAGGACATCGAGGAAGAGGACAGGCCTTCATCAAAAACGACCCCCAAAGACTTGTGCGACCACCAAACCGAGTGGTGGCGCATGCGTGGTAAAGGTGGTGATGAGGGCAGAGGTAGAAGTGTGATGAATCGAAAATGGGAGGAGATGGCATTGACACATGGCATAAAAGGGAGGAATCTTCACTTGGGAAGCTTGTACGTGACGTGGCACGGGTCCCAGAACCCTGCACTCTGTACCCCACGGTTATCTTTTGCTTATGTGCTATTATTGGAACCAAATTATCACTTATTTTTAATTGAATTATATTGTCAATATTTCAAGTGTATCCGATTTTATATATTTTCTAAACTATTTAATTAAAATTGCTGCTATCTCTAATATTATTTTGCCGCAGACATCTTTTTATGAAAATCTTTTTCTTAGGATTTTTCTTCCTGAGAAGCTGAGAGGCTTCAGGAACAAAATGTAAACAATGGTTATCTGCTGCTGTGGAATGCAACAGGTGCATCTGTGATTGGCCCATCTTGAATGTTTAGAATTAATGGCCAACCACAGCCCAGTTAGCTTGGACTCTCTGTCCGAGATGCAAACCTTTATTATTCATTCCTTTCTATTCTTAGCTTCACTAGCCTTCTGAGATGAAATTTTTCCTTCTATTCTTTTTAGTATAGTTTTAGTGTAATGTATATCATACAATAATAAATCAAGCCTTCTGAACATGGAGTCAACATTCTCATCTCTTCCCTCACCTGAAAACCTCTGTGAACACTGTCACATTATTTGGTTTTTTTAATGATGGAATAATTGGGCAAACATAACACCGGGATCGCATCCGGCTGCTCCTGCTGGCTGGGCTCGGTTCCAACAAAGCCCCAGGGGGACACGGGGGGTGGCAGCCCCACAGATGGGACCAAAACCCCATGGGAAGAGCCCTTTGATCTGCTGAGAGCCATTTGGGCAGGGTCCAGTCCTGGCCAGCCCAGCCCTGGTGGCACTGGGAGGGCAGGGCTGGGTGCCAGGAGGTGCCAGCTGGCAGCGAGCTCAGCAGCTGCCGCAGCCCAGCCCTGCCCCAAAAGCTGCATTGTTCTCCCCGAGGAGATGAAATGTTGTGGTTTGAGATGGATTTTTAAATGGCAGCCCCTGCAGAGCTCTTGATGGGTTGGGCTGTGTTTCCAGAGGGTCCCAGCTGGGCAGAGCCTCTGCCCAAGCCTGGCTGCTGTCTGAGCTGTCAGAGCTGGGCTCCAAACAAAGCCCCAAAACCACAAAGGGCTGCTCTGATCTGGGCTGGGACCACCCAGGTGCTGCCCTCACAGGATCCCAAAGCAGGACGTGGTGACCCTGAACAGTCCTGGGGGTCTCTCTGCTTCCTCTTTGTTCCCTCTGCCCCCTCTTTGGTCCTTTTCCCCCTCTTTGGTCCCTCTGCCCCATCTTTGGTCTCTCTGCCCTCTCCTTGCTCCCTTTCCCCCTCTTTGGTCCCTTTGCCCCCTCCTTGGTCCGTTTCCCCCTCTTTGGTCCCTCTGCCCCCTCCTTGGTCCTTCTGCCCCCTCTTTGCTCCCTTTTCCCCATTTTTGCTCCCTTTGCCTCCTCTTTGTCCCCTCTGCCCCATCTTTGGTCCCTCTACCCCTTCTTTGGTCCCTTTGGCCCCTCTTTGGCCCCTCTGTCCTCTTCTTGGTCCCTCTGCCCCAAATTGGTTTCTTTGCCTCCTCCTTGATCCCTTTTCCTCTTTTTGGTCCCTCTGTCCCCTCTTTGGTCCCTCTGCCCCCTCTTTGCCCCCTCTTTGCTCCCTCTGCCCCCTCTTTGCTCCCTCTACCCCATCTTTAGTCCCTTTGCCCCCTCTTTGTTCCCTCTGCCCCCTGAGCCTCACCTGAGCTGGGGCTGTTCCTGCCCCGAGGGGCATCAGAGCTGCAATGGCCAGGCCGTGCATCAGCAGCTGGTGCATTTGGGAGCCTTGGATCAGCATCAGCTCCATCAAACCTGCCCGAGGATGGGAGATTGTGCATCAGAGAGGGAGCAGAGGGAGCAGGGCCTGGGATGAGTGCCCGGGATGGGGCGGCCCCTAGGCTCCTCCCTGTTCCCAAGCAGTGGGAGCACAGCCAGCCTTCCCCCACCCCGCTTTGGAAGCCTCATGTGGTGTTTAAAAATTATTTTGCTTGGCTAAAGCTTGAAAATTGCCATATTTGAGGCTTTTCTTCCTTGCTGGCTCACAAGGGAGAGCTGAGCAGGGACAGCAGGGACAGGGGCTGTGGTCGGTGGTTAATGGGACTGGAGGCTCCAGAGTTTTCTCCCATTCTGGGCAGAGTTTCTGCAGCCCTGGCAGTGCCCAGGGCCTTGGGGAGCAGAGCACCAGGTTCAGAGCATGCCAGGCTCAGCCCTGCTCTGGGCATGAGGGGCAGAGTTGGGGAAGATGGAACAGGAAAGCCTTACAAATATGATTGCCTGGCAAAAGATTTTGAGAATATGGAAACTGTAAGGGAGATTGAAATGAAATCAAGCTTTGAGACACCTCAGTTACCGAACAACTGGAAAACAATGGTGTGACCAGCTGAAGGTGATCCCCTTTTGATGGAACAACACCCTCTGCTTGCAGACAGGCCCAAGGGTCAGAGCAGACCCTACAGCTGGGCAGAAGGGGCCCAAAGAGGAGTTTATAGGGTTTAAAATGTAACAGAGTATGGTAATGTAAGGATTCTTACAGGCTGTATGGAAATGCTGTAGAATTTGTGTCTTGTACTAGATTGGTTAGTGAGAATCAGAATATTCAACACAGAAGAAGATTTATTGTATTGTAATGGGAACTTTGCTCTCTTACCCTTTTACTCTCTCACTCTCTCACCCTCTCTCCCCCTCTCTTCTCTCAGCCTGCTCTGAGCTGTGGCTGCAGCTCCCAGCAGGGCCCTGCACCCAGGCCCTTTGCAATAAACCCCAAGTTCCACAGCCTGGCTGCAGAGATCTCTCATCTGGTCCATCCTGACCATCCTACCCCTGATGCTCTTACAGGACAGGAGCTGGGGGTGAGCCCAGGACTCCAATCCCCACTCCTGGGATCCAGGAGGAGCAGGGTGGGGATGCTCAGTGCCCCCTCAGCTCCTGCCTGCTCCCTGTCCCCTTGGCTGGAGGCCACATTGAGGGTGTGAGGCTGCTGAGGCCTATCCACACAGAGAAAGCCCCAAATCTGCCTCTATACCCCAGAAAAACACCTCCATTTTCTGCAGCTGTGAAATTCCCATGGAAAATTCTTATAAACCTGCTGGAAACCCCTGAGATCCTGCTGGCTTCATCTACCCTGAGCAGCTGTGGCTGCCCCTGGATCCCTGGCAGTGCCCAAGGCCAGGTCTTGGAGCACCCTGGGGCAGTGGAAGATGTCCCTGCCATGGCAGGGGTGAAACTGGACGGGCTTTGAGGTCCCTTCCAGTCCAAACTATTCTGGATTCTCTGGAGTAAAAAAGGGTTTGGACCACCCCATAAGGGCTCCAGAGGTGCCAGGCTGGCTCCCAGGACACAGGAGGTGGCTGTCCCTGCAGGCAGGAGCACCCCAGCACCTCTGCTGGACAGGTAGTACCCCAGGGACTGAACTGGGGTGGGACACGGGGTGGTGGCAGCTCTGGGTGGGTGCATCCATCACACCGGGGTCAGCCTGGCTCCGTTTGCTTCCACACTGATTTGCAACATCCTTTTCCCTCCGATTTTTAAGGATTTCCTCGGATTTTTAAGGCTTTCCTTGGATTTTTAAGGACAGTTCCATCTTCCCCCTCTCCATAGCACAAGGTGACTCTGCCTGTGGTATGTCCCCAGTGATGACAGCTCTTTGTCCCTGCTGTCCCCATTGACCACAGCCCCTGTCCCTGCTGTCCCTGCTGTCCCTGCTGTCCCCAGCCCTGTCCCTGATGTCACCACAGCCCCTGTCCCTGCTGCCAGCCCCGGGTGGGTGAAGCCCCTCCAGGCAGTGGCACAGCCCAGGGTTCCAGCCCCTCTTAATCTCACCCTGCAGTTCCAGCAGCCTGTCTGTCACACCCCGCAGTTCCCTGGGGATGGATGGATGCCAGCAGGAAATGGGGATTTTGAGAACAAAAACAACTGAATTTTGAAAACCCCCCAAAACAAACAAACAAACAAACAAACAAACAAACAAACAAACAAACAAAAACACACCACCAAAAAAAACCACAACAAAACCAAAAAAACAACAGCAACAACAAAAAAGACCAGAAAAAAACAAACCGAACCAAACAAAAAAA